AGACCCGCCACCACCATCCCTGCTGTCTGCCACTACCCCTGAGGTCCACCACCACCATCCCTGCTGCCCGCCACTACCCAAGGCCTGCCACCACCATCCCCGCTGCCCACCACTACCCCTGAGGCTCACCACCACCATCCCCGCTGCCCGCCACTACCCAAGGCCCACTACCACCATCCCTGCTGCCTGCTATTATCCGAGGCCTGCCACCACCATCCCCACTGCCCACCACTACCCCTGAAGCCCACCACTACCATCCCTGCTGCCCGCCACTACCCAAGGCCCACCACCACCATCTCCCGCCATCCGCCACCACCCACCACGCCTGAGGCCCGCCACTACCATCCCCCGCAGCCCACCACCACCCCACCACTTGCCACTTCCATGGCCCACCACCACCCTTGCTGCCTACCACTACCTCTGAGCCTTGCCACCACCCCCACGGCTTACCACCACCTCCACCACCCACCACCCCTGCCATCCCCGACTCCCATAGCCCACCACCACCCCCGTGGCCCACTGCCATCCCCCATGGCCTACCACTCACCACCACTCTTGCCGCCCACCACCCCCTGCCCGCACCAGGCCCCACAGCTCGCTCACAGTGAGGGCAGGGCAGAAGCACTGCCACAGTCAGGAAAACTCTCCTCAGGGTGTACCCCGTTCTCCCGTTACCCTGTGACCCTTCATCCAGGCCATTGCACCTCATGCCTGCTCTCCCCAAACCATACCGGCTAACCTCACCTTGTCCCCCAGACACTGCTCCCCAGTTAGATGCGTTAGCATGGCAGCAGTCTGTTCCAAAGTGTTCCCCGTGGGTTTCATCTGGCTTTCAAAGTATCTGATTAGAAACATGCTACTTTGGATAGTTCGGGCTCAGCCCTGGTCCTTTGTCTGAGCGTTCATGTCTGTGACTACTGTCTACAGGTGTTTAATGAGCCTAAGAGCAGCCTTCTTTTCCTTTAGCTTTCGAACAGCGATAATAATTTTTTCATTCATCAGATGCGCATTTAGGGAGCATTACCCCACATCAGGCCTCTGGCAGGCGCTGAAATTCAGAGACAGAAAGGGCCCCACCTCTGCCCTCAGGAGGCCTCTGGGCAGGTGCAGTCACTCACGAATAAATTAAGGCAGGAGCCAGGAGCCTGTGATACAGCGTATGCAGTTGTGTTTTCCCCGTGATGGTCCAGTCTGAGGTCCAAGGTTTTGTTGGTGGTATCGTCCCATCTTCTAACTCCGTGAGGGCTTAGTTCAAGGTAATGGACTGGCACATGCTTCCTTACTGGCTGGGAAATCCCAAGTTCAAATTCTCCCTCCGCCCCCAGGACCATGGCAGCAGGGGTGTCCCTCACGTGTCAAGTTGTTGACCAGCATCTCAAGTCTTAGTGAGGGTTGTCTAGAGAAACGGAACCAGTGAGAGATATATAGGTGTGTGTGTGTGTATGTAGAGAGAGATTTATTTTAAGGACTTGGCTCACACGATTATGGGGAGCTGGCAAGTCCAAAATCCGTAGGTCAGGCTTTAGGCTGGGGATTCCTGCAGTCTTATGTCCCCAAATCCGTAGATCAGGTGAGAAGAGGAGTGAAAGAGCTTTGTCAAAATGTCTGTTTATAGTCTGGAGGCGGAACACATCCTGGAGAAGCCCTGTTTGCTCTTAAGGCCTTCCACTGATTAGATGAGGCCCACCACATCATAGAGGAGAATCTATTTTACTTCAGGCTAGCTGATTTAATCACAGTGTGCTACTTTATAAGAGAGCCTAGACTAGTGTTTGACCAAACAGTTGGGCAGCAAAGCCTCACCAAGTTGACATGTAAAATTAACCATCACAACCAGGAAATTTGAGTGGAAGGACTTTGTAAATACTTTTATTGCCCAGGCATTGGGAGGGACAGATGCCCTGGTATTTGCGGGGGACAACTTGTTATTTTGTTAATGATGTAATATTTTGTATACTAGAAGCCAGCATTCTGGATTAGAACCATCTGTAACCATCAACACTGCCCCCCCAAAGAAACATACTGGTATTTTTTATGGGCAAATACTGACGTATCAGACAGCAAAACCACTAAGAGTGTAATTACTGAAGCCCCACCCCAGCGTGGCCCCAAGAAGGCAAACATTGGCACGACATCTCAGTGCACCCTGGTGTTGAAAAAAAGGACATGGGCACATGCAGCCAGCTGGGAGAAGTTGATTCAAATAGTGAAACAACAAAGGTGAGTCCATTCTGACCCCGGCTGCTTTACAGTGTGGAGTCAGGTATTTCAAGAACACTGGTACGGCTCAATGCTCATAGAACTTTATGGAGTGCGAGTGACAGTTTGCTACCTCAGAAACTGCTCAGTTGTTTAAAGAAAATCTCACTTCTAAGCGGAATAACTAAGCGTCGTCGGGAGGGACGAGTCCCTGGAGAAGGACATCATGCTTGGTAAAGTACAGGGTCAGCGAAAAAGAGGAAGACCCTCAAGGAGATGGATTGACACAATGTCTGCAGCAATGGGCTCAAGCATAACAATTGTGAGCATGGAGCAGGACCAGGCAGTGGTTCGTTCTGTGGTACATAGGGTCGCTGTGAGTCCGAGCCGACTTGACAGCACCTAACAACAACAAGGGGAATAACTGAATATCTGAGAAAATGCATTTGGTGAACTGTTGGGACGTCCATGGTGCCTCCGGAGTTTGGATAAAGAGCGGCTGAGAATTACAAAGCCTGACTTTAAGCCATTATCATTTGCATTGACGTCTCAGCGCCCTCCCCAACGCCCCACTGCCCCTTCCCAAGCACAAAAGGGTTTTAAAGGAAAAACGGCAGAGAGGTGTTTGTTTGGGTGACAGTTTGATACTACGATGAAGCGTAATGGGCCAAGGATAATCATAGCGATGAGCCCAGCCCCTTCTAGCGGTAGAAGTGAGACAGTGTTGCATTTTCCTGGTCTGTGAAGTCCTAGAAATAAACAGGAAAGTGAAGTTGGCAGCATCCTTTGTAGATGAACCTTTCTTTATCCCTGTTGTCTTTGAAGCTTTGTAGTTACTCATTTTATATGCCCCTTACGGGACTTTTAGGTCAGAGGAGGGACTTTTGAATGAAACAGGAGCCCCTCCAGCATCTGTCCACCTGACTTATCATCAGGTATCAGCAGGAAGCTGAGAGGCAGCAGAGTGCCTGCTGCCACGAGGCCTGGAGCCGCTGGAGACCCTGGAGTTTAAACGGGGGATGGTGGGCCTGGAGTTGGGCAGTCTGCAAAAGGCAAAATCTGAGTGGGTGTCCATCCACCCATAATCTCACAGACGCGGCAGCCCTGACACCTCCAGCCGCCGTGGAAGGGAAACCAGCCAGAGAACAAGAAGCTTCTAGCAGCCCGTGAGCAGATGTGGGCTTCACTCTATCAGAGCTGTGCAGAAACCCCATGCCAAAAACCAACCCAGAATTCCTGGGACTAATGAACAGGATGCCCCACAGAAGCAACTGGAAACCTGCCCTGGGGAGGACCCCTCTGCCCTGCCCCCCCAGGACAGACCCAACCCCACACGGTCACCCCGTGGCCATGCTGGGTGATGGGGGCCCCCGCCCACACGCTGCCCAGTGGCTTTGCTTCTCCATCCCAGCCAACAGTGTGCGCCTCATAATGTCTGCTTGTTAAACTGGTGCTCTGGCTTAACAGGGAACTGGGTGGTCTGCTTGGGAACAATTTGTGGAGCCTTGTTGCCACCCTGGTAGTGCAGTGGTTAGGAGCTCGGCTGCTCACCCAGAGGTTGACGGTTCAAATTCACCAGCCGCTCCTTAGAAACCCTATGAGGCAGTTCTACTCTGTCCTGTAGGGTCACTGTGAGTCAGAATCAGCTCGGCAGCAGTGAGGTTGGTTTGTTTTTTGGTTTTGTTGCTACCCCACGATGGTAAGATACACAGCCAGCGCAGAAAGCAGGTGAATCCTGTGGAGTCTAACCAGCGGGTACTATCTTTTGTTCCAAGAGGGGGCTATAAAGTTCCCAGGTCCCTCGAGCAGCAGTGTTGTTGATGGTTCTGACTTACCGCGTCTCATGTGTTCCCGGGGGCCGACAACTGCTCAGGGAGAAGGGAGGGCGGGAGGGGGGGGCAGTCCAACCCAAGGGTGAGTGTGTCTGTCCTTCATGCTGCACCTGTCCCAGGGCAAGCTGAGGAACAGTAGTGGAGGCCTGCAGCTGGCATGTGTGTGCACCCACTCGTGTGCATGCGTGTATATGTGTGTGTGTGTGTGTTCTGGTAGAAGGCTAAGGAACAGTGTGGAGAATGCAGCTGGCGTGTGTGTGTGTGTGCACTTGTATGCATGTGTGTGTGTGCTGGTGGCGGGCTGGGGAACAGTGGTGGAGAATGCAGCTGGCGTGTGTGTGTGTGTGTAGTACGGGCATGCGTATACGTGTGTTTGTGTTGCTGGTTGGGAGCAGACCCCAGAGTGATGGATAAACACAGATTGGACGGCTGGGACCTCCGTGGTGCAGACAGGTAGGGGAGACACTCCCTTCCCACAAATGCCCTCAGTTTGCACATGTTTTACAAAGTGTGAGCCCCTGGGTGGTACTCACAGTTAACACCCTCAACTGCTAACCCAAAGGTTGGAGATTCGAGGCCACACAGAGGCACCTCGAAAGAAAAGCCTGGCTATCTACTTCCAAAACATGGAAAACCCTGTGGAGCACAGTTCTACTCCGACACACATGGGGTTGTCATGGGTCAGAGTCAATTTGATGGCAAAATGTTTTTTTACAAAGTACACCTCAGTCTGGAAACACTGTTTCTGTGTTTCATGCCAGGCTCTTGTTGCAATGCTATAGTCTAAATCTTTACAGTTAGTACGGATACTGAGGAGACCTTCCCGGATGGAATGGCTTGGCTGATGGGGACGGAGGGGGAGGAAAGCTCACATGATTTCATGAGCAGCATGCGAAGCACGGCAGGGGCCTGCCTTCGCTGGGCTGCATGCTCCCACAGAAATTAAACAGGCCGTGCCTTCCTTTTCAGGCGCGTTTATCCCTGGAGTTCCTGTCCAGCCTGTGGTTTTACGGTACCCAAATAAGCTGGTAAGTTTTGTTTCCCTATGGATTGATATCCAGGGGAATTGCCTGGGAATGAGAATCCTGTGGCATTTTAGCACATCTGTTTCATAACACAGCAGTTGTGAACCGAGTGCAGAAACACTCCTTGGGCCCCCAGAGCCAAGGGTGGCGTGGAGCTCCCTGTGGGCACTCTCCCCGTGGGCACCCGCTCAGGGCCACGTGTGTGTCACCTTCAGCTGCAGCTCCTGCTGGGACCAGCATTAACTGTGAGCACTATGAGCGCTGGTAGCCGACGGACAGCTCCCGGGACTGGTCCCCCTGGGGCCTGACACAGCACTGTGTGCACTGCGGTGGGTCATAGTTCAACCTTGGCGCAGGTTTATTTACTGGTGTCGTTTTCTCTCTGTTTACGGTAGTTTGCTTTTATGACGTCAAAGGAAAGTTTTTTAAAAGAAAATACATGCAGGTCCTGGCACGGCAGGGTCTAGGATTGTTGATACACGGGCAGGCTCGCGTGTGACACTGTGGGCCGGGGGTGTCGGGCCAGGCCTGGAGGATGCAAAGACGCATACACCTGGTCCTCATCACTCTGCCTGGGGGAGTGAGGAGTGCACGTGGGTGCCGGGGAGGCTTTCAGGTCAGCCGAGGAGTGCAGCAGTTGCTCAGTCAGAGCTGGTAGCTGCAAGCTGATGGGCGGAGTCCATTCTGTCTTACTGGCGCTGTGATAAGATCCACTCATTAGCCAGTTTCCTGCTGGAGGACACCTGGTCTGCACGAATTACACCCTAAATGCATCTCCTGTGAAGAAAAGAATAAACCCAAGAATAAAAGAACCTGTGAAATCATCCGTGTGTAGAGTTCTAGATGTTTCTTTGTCTTTAAATGTTTTCACCAGCTGTTTTAGGCAATGTGCCTTTTCTGGGTCTTCTAGAAGTAGTCCACTTAGTGTCAGAGAAGCAGAATTTCTGCCTTGTGCTCCTGTCCGTCGCCCTGTGTACTGTTTTCTTAAGTGATGTAATTGCAGTAACCAGTGTCAGCAGGTTTGAGCACAGACACGGCAGAGGAGGGCCAAGGTGGGGGGGGGGGAGAGCAGACTGTGGGGCAGGGGTGCGTTCAGGGGCCAGGAAGAGGGGTGCAGACGGGAGTTAGTTTTGAGGAGACTGGGAAGAAGGAAGTCACAGATGGGTAGCCAGTGTCAAGAGGGGAACCAGGGCATTTGTCACCTGGCATTCCTAGCCAGCTCAGTCAGGTGGCCAGTGTGGTTGCTGAGGCTGAGTGTATGTGTCAAGGTTGGAGAGCACTGGGAATGTGCCTGGGAGGGGCAGCCCTGGGCACACACAGGGTGGGGCGGTGCCGCTGGCAGTGGGGGTCAGAGTGGCGGCAGAGGTTTGCTCTGCCTGCTCCGGAGGCTGGGGGCTGACCCATGCGTGGCCATGTGGGGAACACACAGGTTGGGGAGGAGTTGGCATGGAGCATGCCAGTGGCATCACGTGGCCAGGTGACCAAGCAGGGCAGGTGATGGCAGGCCCTGCATGCAGAGGTGACATGAACAAGTGTGAGGGAACAAACAGACATGGAAGACTGCCCGGATTAGACATTACAGTTATAGGGGTATTGAGCTGGGCACAGGCAGAGAAAGAGCTGGGGGCTGGCTTTCAGGAGGACGCTGGAACTGACAGCCGTGGTGCTGTGAGCAGACACAGGCAGGTCTGCAGGGTAGGCTCTGGCCCCCGGGGGCTTGGAGATGTGGAGAGAGACAGTGCACCCCCGTCCTCCTCTGCCCCAGAGCAAACTTGGGAGAGAGGGAGCGGTCATGTGTCTCTGTGGAGCCACAGGTGCAGCAGGATGTGGCAGGGACAGGCGACAGGTTTGCCGGCCACAGGAAGGGCCAATTGCTGGCACTCGGTGGAGCACTTGAGTGCCACCTTCCAATTGTGACTAATTCTGCCCCTTTATCGCCCCTAGGACACGATCACGTGGACATGGCAAGGACCTGGAGCGTAAGTCAGACACCGCATCACACCTGTCTGTCATGTTACTTGGGGACCTTGGAGGCTGCCCGAGTGGGCCACCAGTGTGCCAGTTACCTTTGCAGATGTGGACACTTTAAACAAGTGACCTGCTGTTGTCTGACGGTAGCTAGGCTCAGTCCATGTGAAACTAAATGTACAAATCCACATCGGGACTTGGGGCTGGCAGTGATGATGCAGAAGATGATGCAGAAATGGGGTCAGTGGAGAGAGGGTTAGGAGGTGGACTGTCCATTGGGGGATTAAGCATGGGGCCCAAGGAGGGAGGCTCTGGGTGACTCTCTTTCCAATACGTGCAAACAAGAGGCTGAGGTCAGGAGCAAGGCATGGTGGAGGGTGGTGTGACTTTGGGCTTGCCCAGTCTGTGCTGCTGGTGGGATGGCAAGTTGAGCTCTCAGGTCACCTGCCAGGGTCCACGTCCAGGGCAGACAAGGCTACCTGAGCTAGAGGGCAAACCGCGGGAGATGCTCGAGTGCGGGACCAACCAAAGGCACAAGCATAGGCATGTATAGTGAGAGCAGTGAAGACCACTGTTTAGTAAACAGTAGGCTTGTCCTTGGGGAGCCCTGGTGGTGCAGTGGTTAAAGTGCTCGGCTGCTCACTGAAAGATCTAAGGTTCAAATCCACCAGCCACTGTGCAGGAGAAAGATGTGGCAGTCTGCTTCTGTGAAGATTACAGCCTCGGAAACCCTATGAAGCAGTTCTACTCTGCCGTGTAGGGTTACAGTGAGTCGAAATCAAACTTGACAGCAACAGGTTAGGCTGAGGCTTGTCCTTATGCCCGCCTTGTCGCTCCATCGTTGGGTTTTAACCTTTGGCTTTAGACTGAGGAAGGCTCAGCAGCCTGCCCGTGAAGGCGACTCAGCTACCCAGTAGTGCTCTCTAGAGGGGAAGCAGGTCCAGAAATTTTCTCCCGGAGTTTGAAGTATTTTAACAAAAAATGAAGAGTCTTACTTTTTAGCCAATGTTGTAAATCTATTCCATGTGCTGTTTTAGGTTGGAAATCCTGTGGCTCACACTGTGTCAGTTCCACAATCAGGTGGAAATTGAGGTTTGTGCCAATACAGTGTTGCACGTCATCTAGATACAATGTTATATGCCATGTGAATACAGTGTTGTGCGTCATATAGATACGGTGTTGTGTGTGATGTTGCCTGTCATTTACACACAGTGTTATACACCACCTAGATACAATGTTACACGCCATGTATATATACTTCTTACATGTCACCTAGATACAGTGTTCCATGACATTTAGAATCTTCTTACTTTGAACTTCTTTCCATTCCTTAAGGCTCTGTAGAAGGCATTCCCATTTCCTTTGCCTCACCTCATGCCTCCTGCATGCGTTTGAATCATTCGAGCTGGAATTGTAAGATCACGAAGGAAGCTAATTAAACCTGTCATTTTTCTATCACGGGGAATGTAACTTCCAATCAAACCAAACCTGGTGCTGTTGAGTCAATTCTGACTCATAATGACCCTACAGGACAGGGTAGAACTGCCCCATAGGGTTTCCAAGGAGCAGCTGGTGGATTTGAACTGCCAGCCTTCTGGTTGGCAGTCAAGCTGTTAAGTCACTGCACCACCAGGGCTCCTAATGTAACTTAGGTACATATAAAATTGGCACCTATGAATTTTTTTATTTTATTTATATTTAATATTAATGCATGCTGTTGATTTTATCATACTATCCTCCTCTGCTAATACCTTGTCAGACTCTCTAACCTGCCTCCTGGTTTTCAGCCCATTGGCTGTCTCTGGAGTCACAGTCCCCTGCTCTTGGCTAAATTACATGCTATCACTTTCAAGCAGCCTGTAAACTTTATCTGAGTGGATGAGGAATAGGGTTTCTTTTCTTAAAAAGGGAATTAATATGTCGCTTCTATACCTGAAAATTCAAGGTGTCATATGCAACTGAAGTATTTAGTGAAACAATTTGCTCCCTTCCAGAAACTATTGCTGAGTAATACTGAATTGACAAAGGATTCTGGCTTTCAATCAGATAGTTCACATTAGTAAAATATAAGCTTCTGTACTTACACAGGACTGAGCAGAAAGGGGGCCTGAGTCTGAGCGTGACAGACCCTGTTACTTAGGCCATTCTGTGTTCAAAAGGAGAGCCCGTCCTGGTTTTGGCTCACATGACGACATGGGGCCCGTCTGCTGCCAGAGTGCAGGGACCCATGCATGGACAGCTCCGGGGCTTTCCCAAGGCTTTTTGCTTTGCTTTCTCTTGAACACCTATATTTTAGACCTGGTTTCTAATTTTAAGAGGTGAAAGGTAACTATGGTTTTATAACCTCACTTCTGAATGCTTTTAGTCACGTTTCTCATACCAGAGCATGGCACCTGCTCACATGAGAAGCTGTTGGCACTTGCAGACTTTTAAAAAGTGTAGTACCAAGTGAAACCAGAATTGCAAAATGAGAAGAGGGTTTCAGGATGTTCCTGTATTCTTAAATATGCTCATTAAAGAGAGGGGGATTCAGTGACGGTCTTTTGCCTTCTCACATGGAATATGAGACCTACTCGTCTGAAGGCTGTGCAGACACCGCTCACTCACGCAAAGATGCACATTCACGTGACGAGTTGTTTTCATTTCAACAATACAGTGGATGGCAAAAAGTTAATTAATGACAGTGATTCTCACGTACAAGTCATGTGTTGTGCTATCCCTAACACAGGATGGAGACCTTTAGAAATGGGAACATGCATGTCGTTTGTTACATTAAAGACTAAACCCAGCGTGAAATGAGAAATAAAGTGCATGGGTGACCGGACAAGCTCCAAACAGACGGGAGAAAGAGCGCCGGGCGAAGAATGGTGTGCATTAAGTGCCCGCGTGTGTGTGAGAGAGAGGGAGAGAAACGGAGAGACAGAGGGAGGGAGAACTTTGCAGATGGTTCTCACTGAAAGTGCTTTGACAGATCTTACTTTGATCAGAATCACGATTGTCAGTCGTGGTGGGTTTTGTAAGGTGGGTGTCTGTGCTCTCTGGCAATAATGGAGTTCTGTTTGCAGTTTCTCCCAGTGTACCACCCTTCAGAGGAGGAGAAGAGGAGCCCAGCACTGTATGCCAGCAACGTGAGGCGCATCATGGCAGAGTAAGTGAGCACCCGTCCTTCCTCCATCACCGCGTGTGGAGATGCCTCTTTAAATGACGAGGGGCTTCTTATGGCCCCCTTGAGCTCACTGTTACTCTGCATTCTTCCTCACCTGCTGTCCCCCTCTGTGTAGCATTGCTATGACAACAAATGGCCAATAGCATTAGGAAGACGGGTTCCTGCAAAAGTGAGTGCGCACGCGTTGACTCAGCATGCCGGCAGTAGTGGCCTTGGCTGTACACTTTTCCTGTCTGGATTTTGTCTGACAACACTTCAGCTTGTTCAGGAGATGCTTAGTTGTCGTTTAATTTTACAAATTTCAAACGTGCCTACAGTCATCGGCCCCTGGGTGGCGTGTTCTGCGTGGACCCCGTTTGGGACGGCCGCGGGAATGACCCAGCAAGAATACGAGTCCTGGGCAGACCTTCGAGTCTGGTTGGAGCGTCTGCTCAGCTTGCCTTTCTTCATCCACCCGCGTTAGTGCTTACTGATGTTCTGACTCCACCTTACTGCATTCAGTGTGCTGCTTGTACAGTTCCATGAGGCTTTCTTGTAAGATGACTTGTGCTACTTACAGGACAAGCATGCATGCAGTTAGGGATATAGAGACTTCTCGCTCCCTTTCTGCGTGAGATTCCTTGGTTATTACCGACAACGGTAGCATCAGCTCACAGCTCTCGGCTCTGCTCTCTAACCGCCTCTCCTCCCTCGGTGTCCCATCTCCCTTTTTTCTGCACTTCTCTTCTCCTGTTCATGGGCAGGAGGGGCTGCCTCTCAGCTCTGCCCATGAGGTGCCTTGGACTGTAGCAGCAGTGCAGCGGCCTGAACTGTGAGTGAATGGGCCGGCCAGTGTGCTGAGGGGTGCAGTGTGGACACCAGGGGGTGCTGTTGCTCAAGTGGTGCGCTAACTTGAGTGATGTGGCTTTGGGTTTCTAAAATAAATTCCTTCTTCTCATGATACTTGACATGCCCCTGTTTTAATACACTCTGTGAGACTCTAGAGAAAAATAATTTTTCACCTCAGCATACAACTCTGTCCGCTGTATGTCCACGCACTCCTTGGAAGGTTAGGCCTCAGGGATAGAGGCCTCCTAAACCCTTGCCCTTTCTCTCCTTGGGGCACCCTCACCTTCTGGAGCTCCATGCCCTTCTCCTCCCCCTCTCTGAATTGCTCACAGGAAGACATGGGGAGCAGCCAGTGAGAAGGCTGCACTTCACACCTAACTTATAGGTAGTCAGAGCAGTCCGTGGCATCCTTTGTTCACCCTTAATAAAGAAATAATGCCCGTGGAATCACAGTCTTGACATGCTGAGTGAATTTTTTCAGTACATATTCAAATAAATTAACTATTAATTTGATGTTGTTACGTGCCACTGAGTCATTTCTACTCATAGTGACTCCATGTGACAGGGTCAGACTGCCCCAAGAGGTTTGGCTGTAATCTGTATGGAAGCAGATTGCCAGGCCTTTCTCCTGTGAAGCCACTGGGCAGATTTAAACCACCAGGCTTTTGGTTAGCAGCTGAGTGAGTACTTAACTGTTACACCACCAGGGGCTCCTTAACTACTTGTGTTGTTGTTGTTAGGTACTGTCAGTTCCAACTCATAGCAACCCTATGTACAACAGAATGAAACACTGCCCAATCCTGTGCCATTCTCACAATCGTTCCTATGTTTGAGCTCATTGTTGCAGCCACTGTGTCAATCCATCTCATTGAGCATCTTCGTCTTTTTCACTGACCCTCTGCTTTACCAAGCGTGATGTTCTCCTCCAGGGACTGGTCCCTCCTGATGACATGTCCAAAGTACATGAGATGAAGTCTCGCCATCCTTGCTTCTAAGGAGCATTCTAGGTGTACTTCTTCCAAGATGAATTTGTTTGTTCTTCTGGCAGCCCATGGTATAGTCAATATTCTTTGCATCAATGCTTCTTCAGTCTTCCTTATTCATTCTCCAACTTTCACATGCATATGAGGTGATTGGAAATACCATGGCTTGGGTCAGGTGCACCTTAGTCTTCACAGTGACATCTTTGCTTTTCAACACTTTAAAGAGCTCTTTTGCAGTAGATTTGCCCAGTGCAATGCATTCTTTGATTTCTTGACTGCTGCTTCCATGGGCATTGATTGTGCATCCAAGTAAAATGAAATCCTTGACAGCTTCAATACTTTCTCCATTTATCATGATGTTGCTTAAGGACCCAGTTGTAAGGATTTTTGTTTTCTTTGTGTTGAGGTGTAATCTATACTGAAGGCTATATATAGTCTTTGACCTTCATCAGTAAGTGCTTCAAGTCCTCTTCACTTTCAGCAGGCAAAGTTGTGTCATCTGCATATCCCAGGTTGTCAGTGAGTCTTCCTCCAATCCTGATGCCCCATTCTTCTTCATATAGTCCAGCTTCTCGGATTATTTTCTCAGCATACAGACTGAATAAGTATGATGAAAGGATACAACCCTGACACACACCTTTCTTGACTTTAAACCATGCAGTATTCCCCTGTTCTGTTCAAATGACTGCCTCTTGGTCTATGTGCAGGTTCCGTATGAGCACAGTTAAGTGTACTGGAATTCGCATTCTTTGCAGTATTATCCATAATTTGTTATGATCCCCATAATCAAACGCCTTTGCATAGTCAATAAAACACAAGTAAACGTCTTTCTGGTATTCTCTGCTTTCATCCAGGATCCATCTGACATCAGCCGTGATATCCCTTGTTCTACACCCTCTTCTGAATTCAGTTTGATTTTCTGGCAGTTCCCTGTCAATGTACCGCTGCAACCATTTTTGAATTATCTTCAGCAAAATTTTGCTTGTGTGTGCTATTAATGATATTGTTCGATAATTACCACATTCTGTTGGATCATCTTTCTTTAGAATGGGCACAAATAGTGTCTGTTGGCCAGGTAGCTGTCTTCCTAATTTTTTGGCATAGAAGAGTGAGTGCTTCCAGCGTTGCATCCATTTTTTGAAACATCTCTATTGGTATTCCATCAGTTCCTGGAGCCTTGCTTTTCATTAATGTCTTCAGTGCAACTTGGACTTCTTCCTTCAGTACCATGGGTTCTTGATCATATGCTACCTCCTGAAATGGTTGAACGTTGACCGATTCTTTTTGGTACAGTGACTCTGTGTATTCCTTCCATCTTCTTTTTTTTCATCTTTATTTTTATGAGTTGGTTTGTTAACTTTCTTTGTGGTTACCATGAATTTTACCCTTATCTTTATAGGTTTGAAACAGTCTGCCCTTACTTGGTATAGCCTTGCCTTCCTCTCCATTAGAAGGTTCTATACCTATGCCGTTTATTCCCTCTTTCATTGTCTTGATGTTGTTGTC